CACAATGGGCACTTAATAAATAGAAACTTGTTTGAATTTTTGATGGAGCGATACCTATTTTTCTTCTGTTTATTACAAATGTCTTTGAAAAGACTGTATTTTTACAAACTGTTGAGAGCAGATACTCGTGCTGCCACCACTATCACCATATAAAAGCTGACCTTTTTCTAGTGCTGGAGAGTTGACAAAGGGCTCAGAATAGGCTGGGTTATGTCATCATGTGTGTTAATGGTCAGTTGTTGTTTGCTGTTTTCGGTTCTCTGTCCAAAAGACTCCCTTTAGCATCTCTTGTAGGGTTGGTCTGGTTTTAACAAATCCCCTTAATTTCTGCTTATCTAGAAATGTCCTAATTTCACTATGATATTTGAGGGACAATTTTGCTGGGTATATCATTCTTGGTTGGAAATTTTTTTCTTTCAGGGTTTTATATATACCATCCCACTGCCTTCTCACCTGCATGGTTTCTGCCAAGAAATCTGAGCTTAGTCTTATTGGTTGTCCTTCATAGGTAACTTTTCATTTTTCCCATGCTGCTTTCAGGATTCTTTGTTTGTCTTTGGTTTTGGTGAGTTTGATGATGATATGTCTTGGTGATTTTCTTTTGGGGTCTATCCTGTTTGGCATTTGTTGGTCTTCTTGAATAGATACATTCTCATCTTTCATCATACCGGGGAAATTATCTTTCAACAAATCTTCCACTATTTTCTCTGGGTTTTATTTGTCTCTTCCTGTTCTGAAATTCTGATGACACATAGGTTATTCCTTTTGATGGTATCCCACATGAATTTTAGGCTTTCTTCATTTTGTTTTGATCTTTTTTTTCCTGATTACTCCTTTTGCAAAAAACTATTGAGGTATTTGTCTTTAGTCTCACTAATTCTGTCTTCCATTGATTCAATTCCACTCCTTTGCCCTTTCAATGTCTTATCTATTTCTGAAAATTTAGTATTAATCTTCTGGATTTCTGTCTGTATAGTTTATATCCTTCCTAATTTTTCATTTGTTTTGTCATTTTGTTCTTGTATTGTCTTCTGAATTTTTTTCTAGGGTTTTGTCTGTGTTTTCCTTAATTTTGTCAGTGTTTTCCTTGATCTCTCAATCCATAGAAGGTACCTACATATAATTCTTTTGAATTCCTTACCAGGGAGTTTCAATGCTGCTGCTTCTTCAGGGATGTGTTCTGGATCTATATCCTGGTCTCTTGCTTCTCCTACTTCTTTGTGGGGACTGTGAGGGTCTGTTGTCCTGAGACATTGTGACATTGTTATTTTTCTATTTAATTGGTGATTGTATGTTGGAATGATTCACCCAAGATTTTCATTTTCTTTGTTTTGTTTGGATGTATCTGAGTAAGTAGGGTACTGTGCTCCTTTGTTTGCTAGTTGGCAGCGCTTATGCATTCACCACCTGCTGTCTTCTGGTGGGTGTGATAGAGAATGAGAGTGGCTGCACAGATCTCTGTTAACTGCTTGTGAAGAGCAGTTAAGGGTTAGTCAGGCTCTTATTGGCTGTTGTGTATCATTGGCCAGTTGGTGCAGAAGCAAGTGGTGGCCCTCACTCAGTAGATGGGGCTATAGGAGGTGCAGGTGTGGTTGGGTCTTATGGGCACAGTTGCTGTCTTCCACTCAGTTAGAGAAAAATAACAATTGAAAAACCACCAAAAAATTAAAAGCAAGAGGACAAAAAACGCACACCGCATAAACACACTGGAATAATCAGCAAAAAGAGAAAGAGAGAAGATAAAAAAAGAAAAAAAAGAGGAAAGGCAATAAGTGAGATGAAATATTTAAAGAAATACTTTAAAAAGATGAAAGAAATATGAATAGAAAAAATGAGGGAAAAAACGCACAATATCTGGGGAGGGGGGAATAAGAGAAGAGAGGTAGAGTAAGAGTATAACGAAAGAAAAAGTGGGAAAAACGCAGAAAGAAAAACAAGGGATGGGGAGAACCATGAGAAAGAAAAAAATGGGAACCAGAAAAGGGAAGAGAGAAAAGGCTGAAAACTAGAACCTGGGAAGGGAAGAAGAAAGAATAAAAATAAAAAGGAAGATGAAGAAAAAAAAGAGTAATTTTAAAACAAACAAAAAGAAACAAGAAACAAATCTGGGGGGCTTGGGGCAAGGCACCCCAGGCTCTGTCAGAGCACACAGACTGGGTTGGAATTCCTGTCAGCCCGGAGGGTAGGTGAGCGTGAGGGATGGCTGCACCTCCTTTCACCACAACAGTGTGGATGCCGCTCTGACAAGAATATATAACACAAATGGGATGGCTGAACAAACAGGAGTTTATTCTCTTAAAATTTGGAGGCTTTAAGTCTGAGTTCCAAGTGCCAGGCCCTAGGGGCTGGGTAAAAGCCCATCAGCCTTGGGCTTCAGCTCTGCCTCCAGCTCCCAGCCCACAGAAGCTAGAGGCGTTTCTTCACTCAGACAGCTGCTGGCTGCTGAGGCTGAGAAGCCCAAGGTTGACAAATAAAATGGCACAGTCCCGATACTACCAAACTACATGACAGGCCATTAATTCAAGTCCATTGTAAGTCCCAAGGAGCTCTGGTAGCATGGTGCCTAAGGCACTTGACTGCTAACCAGAAGGCTGGCGGTTCAAACCCACCAGCCACTCCTCGGAAGGAAGGTTGGGTCCCAAGGTTGGCAGAGTATGGCAGGCTGCTGAACAATGACATGGCTACATGCAGGGTTCAAGGTGCCATAAGCTAGAGACTATCCCCAAGGCTTCTCCTTATATGCGGGAAGCAGATCACATCCCAAAGCCAGCTACTCAGCTGCTTGTGGTAGATCCCACCATGGAGTTGATTGACAGTCTTATCATGGGGAATAACTACCACCAGCTGCCCAGCCACATTGACATAACAAACTGAACTACCACACAAGGGGAACATCACACCTTTCTAGTCCCCATCCTCTGATATGGCGTGCTGTCCTCGGCAAATGGAGCCTATTCCTATGTCCCTGGAATCTGAGAGAATACTGTAGCTTTAAATATCCAAAATGGTTGAACCGCTTGTAAACATTCAAAATGGCTGCACTGTCTGGACAGCCAAAATTCATCCTGTTTACGTACGTTTGCATCCTTCTTGCTGTTTCCCTTTTTAGTCATCAGCCACTAGTGTAGTTCTTCTTGCAGCCCTTGGCAAGGAGGGCTGATTTTTAGGTTAATTCTTAGGTCCTGTGGGCAATCTACTTCCATAGTGATACCACCTTGGAAACCCAAGGAGGGGTTGCTGAGTTGGGTTCAACTCGACGGGAGTGAGTTTGGTTTGGTTTTTTGGTAACACCACTTGGAAATATCCAAACTGTCTCTGCCATCAGGATCGCTGACAGTCCGCAGCTCTGTTTGTCTCCTTACTTAGTATTTTCATGCAGGTTCTTTTACTAGTTGGAGTTTAGTCCACTTCTGTATCCTCCCTTTCAAAGCTCAGGGCTCCAGGATTATCTTCTGTATCTCTATCAATTGCTTTCTCTTTTCTTTGTTGAAGAGGGTCTGTGTAGTTTGTCTGCCTATTCTGCCATCTTACCCTCCTCAGAATAGGCTGGGAGGTAGGATTGCTCATCTGGGCTTCTGTGGCTGGGGGTGAAGTCATTGTCTCTCACTGGTTGCCAGCCAAGGCGGGTGTGGGTGGGGTGTGCCTGGGCCATGAGGAGACAGTGCCGGCCTAGCTCTGTGTAGGCAGTGATTTGTCCCCTTCATGTTTCAGGAGGAACCTTGCTGTGTGAGCCAGCCTCCCTCACAGCAGGTCAGGGCTGGAGTCCTTGGGTGTGTAAACAAGATGGCCTGAAGTTGCTAGCACCCATCTGTGTGGCTTGCCAGTGACCACAGTGGGTTGTCCTCTGCCCTCCTTGGAGCCCAGCATGGTGCCAGTCAAATGACTGCACTTGGGGACGGGCCCCTTTTCGGAGCCTGGAGCTGGCTGCTCCTCCTCCAGGACTATTGCAGAACCTCCCAGCAGACCTGTGGGGTACGAACGGCCGTGCCCTTTCAGAGGTGAGGCAGATGGAGCCCAGGGAGGAGCAGTGTGGAGAGCCGGTCATCGGATGCAGACCTCTCCGTCTGGCTCCGCACTGGTCCCTTTAGCACTCCACCCTCAGGCAGACCCATCAGCCTGGAGGTGACTGCTCCTAATGCCTGCCCCTCTGCTTACTGTCCTCTCGTTGGTGGGCCAGCAGCCCAGCCAGGATTCAGGAGGGGTGCCCTGCTCCAGACAAACTGCAGGCTTTCTAGGGCCTGAGGTGCTGCTGCTCTGCTCTCTGGAAATGTCCGCAGGCACCCTGGATTCCAAGCTGATGCCTCTTCTGCGGCCAGGAAACCCTGTGCTAGAGGGACCGGCTCTGCCCTCACAGAGCTGGCTGCAAAGCCTGGGGCACACCTGCCAGGTGCCAGCCCCTCAGCCTCTGTCGGCCTTGGCACACTGACTGTGAGGCTGAGGAGTGGTGGCTCTGTGAGGGGAAGGGCCTGGCCCAGGAAGGGCCAAAGATGGGATTTCGTTTAGGCCTTACAGGCTCGGAAGCCCATGAGCCTGTCACACGCTCTGTACCACATAGCCTCCCTGCCTCACCAACAACTTAGTAGGTAGGATATTGAACATTTTAAACACTTTCAGTCATGACTTGGATTTCCAGGTTCCATGCTGGGTTAATTGGAAAAGGCTTGGTTTCCGCCCTCACTGGAAGTACTCCACCTTGCTGAATCTCAGTTGCCATGTCTGTGAAATGGGGCCAAGGCCTCCAGGACAGGGTATTATGAAGGTCACAGTCCCCTGGCCGACGACAGGTGCTCCGTTGAAGTGAGGTTACCCAAATATGAGTCCACGCTCACTGAGAACAGGCTGCTGCCCTCAAGATGTGGCCTGGCTCGAGAATTCCAGGACTGTGCTACCAGGCAAGGCGGGCTCCTTTCTTTTGGAAAGCTAGCGTCAAGTGATTCCCTGCTGGGAGGCCTCTCTCTGTCCCAGCTCTGCAGTCTCACTCTGCTCTGAACTGTCTGCAGGCCATCCGGGTGTTCTTCATGCTCCGCTCCCTGTCGCTGCAGCTGCGTGGAGAGCCTGAGACCCAGCTGCCGCTCACGCGGGAAGAGGACCTCATCAAAACCGATGACGTCCTGGATCTGAGTGAGTTTATCCCGTGTCGTGGCAGCAGGCCACACGGGTGGGGGCGGTGCGTGACCTGCGTTTGGTTCTGTGGTTGATCTGTGACCGTCTGTGAAACTTCTGGAGAAGAGGCCCCAGGGTCAGAGGCCTGTCTCAGGTGCTGCTGGGCGGACCTGTACTGGTGATGTGCTCAGAGCTCTATGGAGGGCGAGTGTTGTCTCAAGTAGGGGCGGGCAGAGTGCCAGGCTCCCTGCCCTCCACGCACCCGCAGCAGCCCAGTTGTATTGGTTTGATGTGTTGTTGTTGATGATGTTAGGTGCGGTCGAGTTGGTTGGTGTATTAGAGGTTTAATGTGACGCCTGGTCTCTGGTCCCCACCACCTCTCTTATATAGTTTCTCTCTCTTCTGTTTGCTGTGGGCTGTGTGTACACTCAGGAGCAAGATGGCCTTCTGTCTTTTGCAGGCACTGTGGTGTATTAAGACTCTTTGCTTATAAGAGAGAGAAAATGTGGCTCACTCTGGCTTAAGGATAAGGAAAGGGGAATTGGCTAATGCCACTGGGAAGTCTGGGAGTAGTTCTGCCCTCAGGCGCATGGCTGGATCTGGGTTCTTGAACAGTGTCATCAGGACGACACCATGCTCCATCTCTCAGCTCCGCTTCCCTCTCTTCTGGGTTCATCCTCAGAAGGGGGTTCCTAGGTAGTGACAAAGACCACCATCTTGACAAGATTTGTTGCCTCAGCAAAACAAGGTTTAACAGAGTCATTCAACAGCACTGACAGACAGCTTTTCTTCCCTATAACTTACATAAAGTCTAGGATAGGGTTCTCATTGGACTGACTGGACATATGAATATCCCTGAACCAGGATGT